GAAAGAAACAGCCCATTATGTGCCAGGCACCATGCTGAGCACTGGGGGTACAAATATCAGAAGGAAGGAAACAAGTATTTATTAGGCACCTGCTGCGTGCCAGGCACTGCATTTAGTGCTGGAGATACAAATATAAGAAGGAAGGAAACAACTTACTATGTGTCAGGCACTATACTGAGCACTGGGGATACAAATATAAGAAGGAAGGGAACAAGCATTTATTAGGCACCTCCTGTGTGCCAAGCAGTATATTAAGTGCTGGATATACAAATATAAGAAAGAAGAGGACACGCATTTATTAAGCACTTACTGTGTACCAGGTACTTTATAAATATCATCTCATTTAATCCTCACAATAACCCTGGGAAATAGGTGCTGTCATTATTGCTATTTTACAAATGGGGAAATTGAAGATGAAGGTTAAGTGACTTGTCCAAAGTCACACAGCTATTATGTGTCTGAGGCTTGATTTGAAGCTGGATCTTCTGGACTCTAGACTCAGCACTTCATCCACCGTGCTACTTGTTTATTGCTAGACAGTCTCCCTGCCCTCAAGTGCCTTAAATTCTAATAAAGGAAGACATGACACAAAGGGGAATCAGCAGGGGGAGGGGTACAAGCACTATTATTGTCCCCATTTCACAGATGTGGAAATTGGAGAGGAGGGAGCTTGAGTGACTTGCTGGGGCCACACAGCTATCTATACCTGTACATCCTGAGCAGACACCCATTAGCTAAATGCCAGTCAGTCAGAAAAGCCTCTTGTAGACTCAGACCACCCAGGGAGAGAAGACCACTGCCCTGGCCCAAAGAGTGACCCTGGAAATCCCCACCTTCAGTCTTCCCTCTGTGGGATGTGGGGCAAATCACACTCCTTGGGTTCCAGAATCCCCGGTACAATAGCTTTGGTCTAGCCCTCTATGCCAATGCAACCTTGTTTGTGCGGGCCCTCCAGTCAGCCCTTGGACTTTTGGCCAGCTATTTCGGTCTCCCTGGGTCTCAGGGCCCTGGAAAGTGAACAGGTTCCATTCGATGGCTACTGAGGACCATTCCAGCTCCAGGAGAGGGCAGGGGAACTATTGCTTTTCCCCAGTCGGAGTCCTGTTCCCCTGGGCTGGGGCAGGTCGGCTTCCTGTGTGAGAACCCACACCAAGTGCAATATCTCCCTAGCAATGTGCTGCCACCTTCAGAGAGGGGATTGAAACACGCACGGAGATGACCAGTGGTAGACTACCCAGAATTGCTGAGTTTAGTTTCAACTCAGGAGGTTGGGGCGGGGCAAGGCTGGGGAGTCAGTATCTTAAAAAGGGTCCTGGAAAGCAGGCAGACAGAGCAACATTTACCAATCCAGGACAGCTACCTGGCTGCTGGGAGAGGTTCTGAGAAATCCTTCCCTGTGGTTGGCTCCCTGACCTTGTTGCTATGCAACCACGTAAGCCTTTCCAGCAAGCTCCAAGGCTTGGGAGACAGCTCTCCCTGCCCCCCCCTTCCTTCCATCACTCCCCCCCCCAAGCTCCAGAGGAGGAAATGTTAATAGGGCCAGTGTGGAAGCTTCTTTAAAATAGATCAGAGAGATGAGACAGAGACAGATGGAAAATGCTGCCCAGCTACATGGCCTCTGCCACAGAGCCCATGCCCAGGGCCCATGGCCGAAGAGAGCTTAAGCCAGTCTGGGAGAATCTTGAGACTCTTTAGTCTAGGCCTGGTAAAGTTATGATACCCAGACCATTCTTCATCAGAGCTCAGACCTACCCGGGCTCAGGACAAAATACAGCTGGAGCCAGTCTGGGAGATTCTAGAACCCTTCAGTCTAGGCTGGCTATAGTGATACCTAAAACATACCTCATCAGAGCTCAGGCCCAAGGCAGAAAAGAGCTGGAGCCAGTCTGGGAGATTCTAGAACCCTTCACTCTAAGCTGGGTATAGTGATACCTAGAACATTCCTCGTTAAGACACCAAGACCTCTACTGTCTAACTCAGGGCCCCAACCTTGCAGATCCAGGCTTAACTTGGAGCACACTCTAATCTTTCATTCGTGTTTGGTTAAAATATCTACCTACCTATCTAGTGTAATTTTGTAAAGAAGTCTGTTTAAAACAGAAGAGTTAAATTCAAAATCAGCTAAGTAGAAACAGCTGAATAAAGAACTGTGCCTCAGTTTACTTATTTTTATCTGCAGGGTTAGGGAAGGGACGGAAGGAATAGTCAGGATTCTCACGATCCCTGAAAACTGAAGCCAGGCCTGCAGCCCAGGGTGTGTCTGTTCTTTGCTGCAGCCTGCACACACCGAGCTCTCCTGGTTTTGATTCAAGGAGATATGGGGGTCAGCGTCTTCCAGACGAGAGAGCAGTGTCTTCCAGACAAGAGAGGCTTTGAAACGCCATTCTGACAACTTGGTCCTAAGATGCCAGGTGGGGGTCTTCTCCCCTACTGATTCGGCAGATGTGTTTCCCGATGAAACCTCTAGCCTGAGTTTCCATGGCAGGTCCCTCACTCAGATGGTTTTGCTGGACAGAGTGGGCAGGGGCCACAGAAGCTTGCCAGAGCATCCTGGCTCTACCCTTCCCTCCATCTCCTCCTCCTCCCCCATCCCCTCTGTCGTTATCATTCCTGTCCAATGCGGTCCACTCTGCCGACCAGGCTGGCTGGAGGGGCTGGCGTGTGGGAGCCGCTGCGGCTTCCGAGGAATCTCACTGCAGATTTCCTATCACACTGAGGTGCATCAGGGACACTGATTGGTTTCAGACAAATTTTGCCCAACAACAGCAGCTGTGGCTGAGGAGAAGCTGCTGTTAGAAATCCCTGAGCTGGAGAGGACCATGACAAAAAGGATTGGGAGTGTGGAGGGGTGGGGGAGAGTCGGAGAGCGAGCCCCAGAGCCAAGATGCTCTTGTGTCCAAGGGCTGAGCATTTGGATGATCTAAGCAGGGATTCAGCATTCCAGGATTCAGAGAAGAAGCTGAAGAAAATGCCAAGTGGCAGGGAGAGAGACAGAAAGAGAGAGAAAGAGACAGACAGAGAGACAGAAAGAGAGACAGAGAGACAGAAAGAGAGAGAGAGAGACAGAGAGAGAGAGACAGACAGAAATAGAAAGAGACAGAGAGAGACAGAGAGACAGAGAGAGAGACAGAGAGACAGAGACAGAGAGAGAGAGACAGAGAGAGAGACAGAAAGAGACAGAGACAGAGAGAGACAGAGAGACAGAAAGAGAGAAAGAGACAGACACAGAGAGACAAAGGGAGAGAGAAAGAGACAGAGAGACAGAGACAGACAGACACACACACACACACACACAGAAAAACCTCTTAGCTTAATAGCTTAGTTTTAACTTGCAAAACACTAATAATAGCCAACATTTACATAGTGAATCTCTTTACAAATATGATCTCATTTGATCCTCACAGTAACGCTGGGAGATAGGTACTATTATCACACCCATTTTACAGATGAGGAAACTGAGGAAAACAGAAGTAAAGTGACTTGCCCAGGGTCACACAGCTAGGAAGTATCTGGGGCCCGATTTGAACTCAAGTGGATTCACCGTAGTAGATAAGGCCCTAGATCTGGAGTCAGGAAATTCAGTCGTTCCGCCATTTTTCAGTCACGTCCAACTCTTCGTGACCCAGTTTGGGGTTTTCTTGGCAAAGATTGGAGCAGTTTGCCATTCCCTTCTTCAGCTTATTTTACAGATGAGAAATCACAGGCAAACAGGGTGAAGTGACTTGCCCACAGTCACATAGCTGGTGAGTGTCTGAGGCTGGATTTGAACTCGGGAAGATGAATGTTCTGACTCCAGGCCTGGCCCTCTATCCACTGCACTACCTAGCTGCTACAGAGTTAGGAAGACCCCGGATCCAATCCTTCTTCAGACATTTAGTGGCTGTGGTCCTGGGCAAGTAACCTCTGCTGCCTCAGTTTCCTCATATATATATATATATATATATAGTATATATATGTATATATATGTGTATATATGTATATATATGTGTATATGTATATATATGTATATATATGTGTATATATATATATATAACAGCAGCTACCTCTGTGAGGATCAAATTAAATAATACTTGCAAAGACATTTGTAAACTTTACTTAAATGCCATATAAACACTAGCTTCTCTTATTACATGTTATTTCTTTTGGTACTCATAACACCCCTGTGAGGAAGGTGCCATTATTATCCCCATTTGGCAGAGAAGGAAACCTGAGGCAGACTGAGGTGAAGTGACTTGCCCACTAGGGTCACGTAGCTAGGAAGCTTCTGACATAGGACCTGAACTTAGGTTTCCTCCCTTCATCCGTGGCTTTTGAATAACTGGAGTGAGGGAAGGGAGAGATAAGCAGTGCTACCAATTAGCCTCCAGTACTAAAAAGCAGATAGGAAAATAGTTTATATGGGAAAGCAGCTTATGTATATGGTCTGGAGGAAGCAGGATTCTTTATTTCAGCAGGGCTGTATGGCAGTGAATTTCAAGGGTGAGGTCTAGAGTGTGGGATAGTGTGGACAACATGGGCCATTCTGAAGTGGCCACCAGCAAGGACGTACACCATGGTGGCTCATATATGCCTGCCTGAGTCATCAATCACTTATCCCTAAGAAGCCCTTCTTTTATCTTCCAAAGGAGTAACCAGAGGGATCCATGGTCCATTCTGTCAAGGCCATAAGTAGTTCTGAGATCCATCATTTCAGGTAGAAAATGAGGAAGAGCTAGTATCGCTCATTATCCTATTTGCAAACCAGTCATTGATGGTCCCAATTAGAAAGTGGTATACGTGGCAACCTCTTGTTTCACCTGATTTTTTTGGTCCTTTGTCTTCTAGTGAAATGTGTACGTTTAACCCCACTGGTCCCTAAACTGTTGACAATCTCTCATCCCTCTTTCCTTTTAATTCCTGATAGTTTGGTTTATGGGGAAATAAGGTTTATCCAATAAGGAGAAAGTTATGCATTTATTGTGACCATAACATTCACCTTTCCTTCTCTCTCTCTGTTCCAGGGTTCAGCTCCTATTCTGGTAGTCATGGTGATCTTGCTAAACATTGGAGTCGCCATTTTGTTTATTAACTTTTTCATCTAATGAGATTGTCTTAGCAAAAATGACAGTTCTACATACAGAGATGGGGGAAAGGAGAGGAAAACAAAACACAAAACAAAACAAAAAAGGGAACGAGCATAACTCTGACCGTCCAACAACTTCCAGGTCTTTTCACAGAAGAACAACATGATTGGGTATCACTCACAGTTTGCCTTTTTTTCTGGGTAATGTTTTTTGGATTTTAGCCAAAATTCTTTGCTTGTATAACACTATGCTGTGTGACATGGCAGAAGGTGGCCGGCACGCCAGCCCTCCCAGCTAGACACGGAAAGAGAAGAGAAGGGATCTCGGGAAATCAACAGCAAAAATCAAATCACCTTCGTCATCATCGTCACCATCACGACAAGGAGGACCAGCTGCTGCCAACAGGCAGAGGGAAGACATGGCGGCCAGAGCGCAAAGTCCCAGAGGAGTGTCTCATTTTGAGCCGGGTCAAGCAAGGAGAAGGAAGCAGCAGTCTTCAAGACACCAGCATCAGGGTTGGGAGATGGAAAGAAAGGTAGTTCATACTTTCTTTTCACTCTCGGCTCTGAGATATCCTGGTGACGAGCATTCATGGGTATAGAGTGCAGGGACTAGAAGCTGTCTTTTTCCAATGGGTAGGGAAACTAGCCCTTTTTCTTGTTTTTAAATGGGCATATACATATGTTAAGGGGGAAGGGGGGAAATGCCTTTCCCTTTTCTACCCATCTAAATTTATTAGTCTTACCATTTTCTAACACTGCCCCGTTGGCTGTCTTGGAGAAGGCCAAATCCCTGATCCCCAGCTCACACCCTGGGTTTTAACCAAACACAGGTGTGTGCACTTGTACATCTGGACCAGTGGTTCATTTTCATATTTGGCATCAAATTCCCTAACCCGAGTGTTTTCCCTTGCCTCCTTGTCACTCATACACCAGCTCCTGAGGGAAACCATGGTACTGGAGGTGTAGGAGTTGGATTCAGGTCCAGACTGGAGGGTCTAGGAATGAATGCAGTCAATGTGTCTGGTACATCTTGCCATGGACAGTTTCTGACATCATGCTTGGGCTCAGAGCATGTGGTATTTTTGCACTTTGTATGCAGGACGTATATTCAGGCTTCCAACGTGTCCCTTGTACGCCACCATTGGTAATGACAGCCCCTTAAGGATGTATTGTTTTCTACAATATATGTCACTTAAGTTCATTGGTTTTACCATCTTTGTAATAATGCCTGCCTTGATTTCCCCACTGGTAGATATGCATAATCATTAAAGATGCACTATCCCTGTTCTGAAGCTGTTTGGGTCCCAATAACAGGATCACATTTTAAAACTCAGTGACTAAAAAAAAAAAAAAAAAATTCCCGAGTTCATTAAAAAAAAAAATCTCTACCCCCCCCCCCCCACCCCCCCCCCCAAAAACAGTGCAAAAACATACAACCCGAGTGTTGTTTCAGTCAGACTAGGAGGTGCAGTGTGTTTCTGCCTACTCTGCCATCATGGCTTCATGATCTGACCCAAATCATAGACTAGACCGCCATGTTTGACTGTCCCTCTCTGATCAGCAGTCATTAGAGATAACTATACCTTGACATGCCTGTGCGTGTATGTATGTGTCTATATTGAGTGTGGACAGATCCATAGACAAACACCTCAGTTCCACATTAGGGAAATTCCTTTGAAAAAGGATTCACATATAATGTTGTTGGGTACAGCCCAGACTTCCGGACTCTGCTTTGCTTCTCTTTAGCTGTTTTTCTGCTCTGTTTGAAGCAGATTTCTTTATTACACTGCACTGGATTGCTATATTTTTAACCAGAAATAAACTAAAGATTAGAGCATGTTCCATTGAAGTTTAGTTCTTTTCCTTACACACTCACACACACCATCCTTCTCACAGTTTTGTTTAGTTCAAGGGTCTTTTTTGGGGGAGAGGGTGGGAGGGGACATAGGAGGAGAGAGCATCAGTAATACAAATACATTTCTGATAATTTGCTTTCTAAAGGGATATTACATCTTTTGTACATCTTAATTTTCTGTTCCTCTTTTTTAATATTGAGTGGTTGCTGCAGAACCTAAAGTGAACCAAATAAAGATTCTTGTTAACTTGCAGCTCTGAGAATCCTCCATGCTGGGAAACGTGTTTTGTAATTCTGTTTGCAACTCTTTGTAAAGATTAGCGAGACTTCTTTTGTACATTCCAGTAACTGCATGCCACAAAATGGTACCTACAAATGCAGGTTACATATTTACATGCAAACACCATACAATATTTAGATAATGTATTTAAAAAAAAGCAACAGCACAAAAATGCCTATCATTCAATACAAGAACTAGTGGTTTCATGCCTAGGCACTTCACACTGGTGACTGACTGTTTTCCATGAGCATCATTTCTGGCTGCCAGTGAATTAAATTGTGGACACCCAAGAAATGCCCCAGGGCTTTTGTTTGGGGGTCGTTATATTCACTAGACCAAACCATTTCTTCTCATTCCGAAAGAGCCCACTCAAATCAAGGCTGCTTGAGTCTGAAAGACACCTGAAGAGTAGCTTTAATTGGTTGCCAAAACAATGTGATTAAAAGCAAGGATGACTTGATTAATTGTTGCAGGTTGAGCACTTTAAGAAAGCACCTGCTTGTCACACCTTGGCCAGAGCCTCACATTTCCCTGACAGCTACATCACTCATCATTTTCTTCCATCAGTGTTACAGACTTGCTTTTCTCTATCTCTTGCCCGAGTGCACACATGCTTGTCTCACTAGAGGAAGGTAAATGAGAATTACAGGGTGGGTGGGGCAGTATGGAAGCACTAGCAGCTATCTCCCAGTGGCCCAAAGCATTTAACAATTTTTTAATTAATACCCAAAGCAATCCTGTAAGAAAGGTGCCATTGTCCCTATGCTGCAAATGTGAAAGCCGAGGCATAGAAAAGTGAAGGGACTTGGTGTAGAAGATGCCAAATCAGCTCGGAGAAGGGGGTAGATGAGTCTTACTGAACCAAGCTTTGAAACCTGGTTTTCTAAACCACGTTTCAATCAGAGTTAAAACAGAAAAAAAAAAGATTTTTTTTTGAAAGAGCATACAGTAAGAAACTTGGAATATGAGTAATCCTAGTCTTTGTTCTGAAAACAAAGCATTTATATTGGTCATTTTGGTTATTCTCTGCCACTTAGCCAAACCCAACCCTCGACTAACCATAGGTTAGTCCAGATGTATGAAAAGATAACTTGGGAGGAAATGAGTCCTTGGTGAAATCAGATGAAGGAGGACCCTGGGAATGGATTCACTTTTTAAAGGGATTTCCTATAGAATTTAGTTGAGTTGTTTGACTTATCTGTGCCTCGGTTTATGGAATTTTCTTACCTAAAACTTGAGGATTTTCATAATTTGTATTTCAGATTTATTTGTGCCTTTTGAATTTAGTTTCCTGCATAGGAAGTGTCTGAATAGTTGAATACATAAAAAATGCTCCTTATCCATCCTCTTGGACTCATGTACTGCCAAGATTATATGAATGGTTTGATGTATGTAAAATAAAAGAGTATGGACAAGCAAGGCCTAGCAGCCAGACAGAAGGTCAGTGTGGCTCTCAAGAAATGAGAGCAAACACAGTTGAGCAGATCACTAAGGGAGAAAGATCCCAGAAACACAAGGGCTTACTGACTGATTTTCTAAAGTGACCCTTATCCCTTTCAAACAAATAACAACATCCTCTTTTTTACTTTTTTTTTTTTTGAGTCAAAATCTTCCTGAGCAGGGTATGACTGGACATGCCAGTCTCAAGCCAATTCACTGAGATTTCCCGTAGCCACCAGAAAAGAGGCATTTTATGAAATCACAAGATGAGGCCATTATCTCACTTCTGGGCTCGAGATGTTTGGTCCTCTGGCTTGTGATGCCAAAAGAATTTATAGGCCATCTAGAGTGGAAAATGTCCAAATAGAACTCCCATATTGGATTGGTTGCAGCAAATAGGTACCTATCTTGCAAGGGATCCACAGGCTGGAATTGTTTGTCATTCAATTTTGGAAAAGACTTTCCATAAAACATGGATTAACATGTGTTATGCCTCAACTGGAGCTTTTGTCCTTGAGACACCATTGTGTCAAAATGAAAGGGAGAATAGGAAACCTTGCAAGGCCTGCTAGTTCATCTTCTAGTTTCCAATAATACAATAGCTAAGCCATCTCAGGTGGCTCATCAGAGGTGACCATTTTGAGATTTCACTTTATCGTCTTTCCCCATCTCTAATTTCAAATGTCTTCATGGTATACACGTCTAGCTTGTTTCTTCTTATTCAGCCTTTAAGCCCAGGTTGTGCAATAATTTGTATTTTCTCTCCTAGGTTAAATCCCATTTCTCTTTTTATAGAATCTGTCTTCCAACATTTATACCTTCCTTTAGTTCAGGGAAAGTAACTAAGGGAAAGGTGCCTTTCTAAAATTGTGCAAACTATCTACTCCACTAACTTTAACCAACTACTTGATCCAGTGGAGAAGAGATGAATATCAGCCTTTTCATCATACCAAGTTAAGATACGCAGAGGTTCTCAAGATTTTTGTGTGTGTTCGGGAGCCCTTGGGCATTCCAATGAAGTCTATAACTCTTTTAAATGCCTCATATAAAAAAGGGGATTACAAAGGAAACCAAAGGTTAGTGAAAATTAAAAGGTCTTTTCTCCCCATCCTAGTTCACAGACTCCCAGGTTAAGAAGCTGAGATAGAGTAATTCATATAGTGGGTATTCAACAATCACTCTCGAGGTGGGGGCTGAGGTGAATTTGCCTTTTATTCACGTAAGAATAAGTCAAAAATCCAGTTAAAGGAAAGAGTAGAAGGCTGTAAATCTGGCCTATTCAAGAAAGATTAGCCTGAGGTGTTAGTAATACTACCTCACCTCTGGCTGTCAGTGTTACCTAGATGTTACCCAGAATTAAGAGTAAACAAAATTAATCCTTTGACTTGTAAGTCCTGAGCGGCATTGCTAAGACTGCCTTAAATGATGCAAGGGGGAGGAA